CCCCACTAGCATCTGGAGCTGTAGTCATTATTTATGGAAAAAAAAGGCACCAAATAACAATAAAAAACACTCAAAAACCCCCAAACCCTCCAAAACCACCAAAGATTGAGGAAAAGTAGTTGACAAAGCTACACTTGTAGTAATGCGAGCTTGAGGTATTCCAGAGTGAGAGGTGGTGGTGTAAAGCCTGCACTGACTTTTTAAAACACAACTGTATTGGTGGAAAGGCTTCAGCTTATGCAGTGGCTTCAAGTGTTTGACCCCAGTTAGATGAGTGGTAGTAAGGAAAAGATTCTGATTAACTTGTCTGTCTTGCACTGAATAATCTGTCAGCTGTGTGACACTGCTCTCCCCATGCTGGACATGATCAAAATGAGACCATAGTAAATTAAAATAACTTTTTAAAATCTTACAATATTTTCTTGAATGAGACCTAGAAACTCTAGTCTACGTTTATGATTTCTCAGTGTGGCAAACAAGGAATGCATAAGCAAGCTTATTTTAAATAAGGACTAAAACCTGAACCTGTTTGTGACAAATTTGACTTTTGACTCTGCAGAGCTTGATCAAGTTGAGTAATTAAGTTAATGGAATAAGATTCATGCCTTTCCTAAACAAAACTGCAGTCTACCATTGCCTCATTAGTCCCGTTGCATGAAGCAGTGGTTTTGGTTTTTGGGTTTTTTTTTTTGTTTGGTGGTTTTTTGGGTTTGTTTTTTTAAGAGCTTAGGTGTTGCAGCTAACTTTTCCAGAAGTATCGTGTTAAAGCAGGAAGTAATAATTTCAGAATTCTAATTGTTCAGATTAATGAATTTTGGTATGTCTCAGTTGACTGCTGTAAGTTGCCAGATGAAAATGAGCTTTTAGGAACAAAAAGACAAATCTCTCTCCTCAGCCCTCTCTCCTTTCTCTTTTGCAGTACTATTTTGGCAATCACAATCTACCAAGAGACAAGTTCCTAAAGGAACAGATCAAACTAGATGATGGCTGGGTGCCTTTAGAAGTAATGATCAAATTCAACAGGTAAAACAAAGTACTACTGATCTGGATGGAAGGGGGTAACGTTCAGCTACTTGTCTCTGGGCTGAGATGTCCCTGGCCTGCATGTACAACTCCTGTTGCTGTTTTAACATTTGGCTTCAGCTTTGCTTTTATATTTGTAATAACCTGTGTCTGCTTGCTCAATAGGTTAAGCCGCCTTTCAAAAGATTTTAGTGTTATTGTAGAAGCACTAAGAAAATCCAAGACTGGTTTAATGGAAATAAATGAAGACAAAACTAAAATCAGAAGATCTCCAAACAAACCCCTTCCTGAATTAAATGACCAGTATAAGGCTGCAATTAAAAACAGATCTGTGTATGTTGTAAGTAAACTTCTTCCTTTGCTCTATGCTGTTCTGCGTGACTTTGAAAACCATCTAAGTAAAGCTTCAATTAACACATACTGGACAGGTTATATTTTCCGACTGTCGTTTTGTTGCATATAATTGAAGCTTGTTGCTATCTTGCAGAAAGGCTTTCCACTAGATGCAACTCTTGATGATATCAAAGAATGGCTTGAGGATAAAGGGCCAGTTGAAAACATTCAAATGAGGAGAACATTGCAGAGAACATTTAAGGTACTCTTGCAATGAACAGTTAGACCTGGGGCAGGGATCCCCCTTGGACAACACTGTGTTCAATGACTAACACTGAATGTCTCTTACCATTTAACAGGGCTCAATATTTGCAGTTTTTGATAGTGTCGAATCTGCTAAGAAGTTCACAGAGATCCCAAACCAAAAGTACAAAGACACGGAGCTGATAGTGCTTTTCAAGTAAGTCCCCTTTACTGAGGTACGAACTGGTAATGGTCAAGGGTGTATTTAGACAAGGACCTGAGAAGTGCAAGTTTCTATGCTGTTGTACAAGTATTGACAGCTGTACCTTTTGGAGACCAGCATCTCAACTGTTTCTTGGGTACTGCTGTCTTATGAAGTAATTCTAACAGAATGCTTTAAGTGATAATAACTTAGCTTAAATTTTATTGAAGGGAGGAATATTGTACAAAGAAGAATGAAGAAAGGAAACAAACCAAAGTAGAAGCTAAAGCAAGAGCTAAACAGTAAGTCATTACCAATTGACGTGCCTGGTTTTGCTCACCTGACCACGCTTGAATCAACTCTTTAACTGCTTTTAACTTCTCTACAGGGAAAAAGAAGAAAAACAGAAACAAGCAGCAGATGCTGAAATGGTATGTGTTTCTTAAATCTCTGTACCTGAAAACTGCAGTGCTTGCTGTTGTATGGATTTTCAGTGCACACGTAAGGAACATGCTCCTGTAGCTACACTTTGTAAAGCTAATGTGGGATATTCAGTGTGAAATTCTGTAATACAGAGCACTTTCCAGAAAGTCACTTCAGCTTTTCCAACTAACTCACAGTAAGACTTTGTTTTGCCGTGGTATTTAGTCTTATTTTAAAGAGGCTATTTTTGTTTAAAGGATCATATCCTGATTTTAAATTATTAGGCATGTTTACCTGTTCAGAAGTGATCCTAAATGCACCACTGAGATGGTCATTATCCTTTGATATTTAAAGGATCCAATAAGGATTTAATCAGAATTGTATAGATTTTCAGCCTGAGGTGTTAGCCTTCAGAAAACTGTTTTGTAGAATTGAGAGTGTAACTCTCTTACGGTAACCGAGTCTTAAGTTCCACATTGATGTATCATAGTAAAGCAAAGAAAGGGGGGACACTGTGCAAGACTTGGCATTACAAAAGCTATGTAGCAAGAATGCTTGGGTTACTGGTGGTGCTAAGGGGGGTGATTTCAATTGCTTATTTATCACTATGTTTTAATAGTCTTAGGATTGAGGGGAAAAATGAATAGTCAAGCCTGACTCTTCAAGAAAACTTTTGTGGTTTCTTTTAATGTAATTTAGAAGTCTCTGGAAGAAAAGACAGGATGTCTTTTGAAGTTTTCTGGTGATCTAGATGATCAAACATGCAGAGAAGATCTCCATGATGTATTTTCTGGGCACGGAGAAATCAAATGGATACACTTTGTCAGAGGTGCAAAGGAGGTCAGTGGATTCCTAGACAAAGAGTTAATGTCCCTGTATTAAAGTTTGAAACAGAATGATTAAATGCTTGCTATCTGATCAAATAAATATTTTGAGTTGTGAAATTGCAGAATATTTAGAGAATTAAATTCCCTTAAATTCTTTCAAAATCACAGATAAAGATTCCAGCCTCTTCAGTTGATGAGGTCAAAACTGAGACTGAGAATGTTTGTTAGGACAGTCTGAGGGTTTTGCTTCAGTCAAGGCATATTTTACTTAATGCAAGAGTAATGAATTTGCTGAGGTGTCTTAACAGGATATGTTGTTCATCGTTTTAGCTGTATTCTGTGCAGTAAGATTCAAATGCATACGCCACTCTTCTTTTTAAGGGTATTATCCTATTTAAGGATATTGCAAAAGAAGCTCTGGAAAAAGCCAAAGAAGCACATAATGGAAACTTACAGCTTCGGAACAAAGATGTTACATGGGAAGTGCTAGAAGGAGATGCAGAGAAAGAAGCTCTGAAAAAAA